CTTTATTTAACTTTAGCAACTAGAAAGGAGTAGCTCTAATGAATTTTCGAAAGATTTCCTTATTCTTAATGCGAATTGCACAAGATTGACATGAAGACAGCTACACAGAGTTTTTTTTTCAACTAATCATATCTTAGCTTAGCTTAGCTTAGCATAGCTGAGCGTATACAATAGAGATTCTTGTTCTTCAAATAAAATCCGACCGCGGTAGATTTACTTTTCATTTAAAACCGGTTTATTTAATAAGTTACGGTGTGTAAGCTGAACTTTTTTGATGTCAGACAATTATACATATTCAAATGGTTATTTTGTAAAGTGACTCATAAATGTTTTCATTATATAAGGTTCTTAGGAAAGTCTTAGCACTTGTCAAAATAGTCCTGAAATAGCATATTCTTTCATTTTGTGACCACTTCGGAGTAAATAGTAATGTTGAAGAATAGTTATCTAGAGGTCATATTATGTGCTCTTTTATGAATGTGTGATCAGCTTTCGTCTGACGTAGAACCGCTTGATTATGAGCAAGTTCTTCAATTAATGGAAAGTTGTACTTGTAGAAAGAAAAATAGGCTTGTTCTTTAATGAATAACATGTATGGATGATATTTGGGAACAGTTTTAAGTGGCTATTTTTACAGAGTACCTAATTTTCTACAAAATTGCAGATTGCAGTAAGAAAGAAGTCAAAGATATCGAAAGTTATAAATGTGCTTCGAAGTGCTAGTTTACATATAAAATGGAATGTTGTTAAAAATTTACTTCTCTAGTAACCAATGTTTTGAATGCAATCAGATGTCGAATTATTTAATCGGCATGCAGAATGAATGGCAAGTTCAGTGTTGGGTAGAACAATGTCCGTTCTGCAAGCTAGCAAATCACAATTAGTTTCATGTTTTTCATTGAATCAATATTCATCAAAAGAGAAAAAAGGCTCAATTAGAATTTTCTATAGACTCCATTTTTGGGCCACTCGAGTATTCACCTATAATGAATCAACCTTAGGCGAAAAAAAAATTGAAAGAAACATTAAAAGGAGCATATAATTTTAGTTCGAATTGGCACCTAATAAGTTTCGACGGTTATCTCCAACTAGTTGAAAAGCAGACAAATACTTCGACTCAAGATTTTTCGACAGTAGTAATTTTTAATATCAGTTTTACATTGTTGTGCTTGTGAAAAATGGTTGATGAACACTACAATCAAGACATATTTTGATAGTCTCCAGTGAGACAACTTTTCCCGAAACTATCCTCGGATCCTCGGTCTTGCACATTTCTATTCGTAAGTCAAAATAGATTGATTGAGAACCGAGTTTTTCTATGATTGGGACACTTTCGATGCTCCCGTTTGTCTATTCGGGGCTCGATTCAATGAGCCGAGAGAAATGTCTCTAAAGTGAAAGGAACTTAACGTTTTCCCTTCTTCGAAGATCATGGCGAATCCTTAGGTCTTTTGTCATTTCTAAAAAGAATAGCTACGCTAGTACTCTAGTTACTGGTTGATTTTTTGCAAAAGAACATCAAACGATGCAAGAAATACGGCTAATCGCAAAAAGTTCAGATCAAAACTCCATCGTTCCATGAAGTTTTTGTTTTGAGTAAACATACTTTGAATATTCTAGGCACAAACTCAACAAATAGAAACGTGACTTTTCAAACTACCACTACTACGGTCATGACGTCAGGGCCTCTTTGTAATGTAGCAGCATGCCGTTCAATAATTGCTGTTTATATCTCGCGCACTTGGGGATACAATACAGCAAACTTTGGTGAATGCATTGGATGTTCACAAGCGAGTTGGCCAAATTTTCCATCTGATTGGTCTAATCGATGGTATATAATGAACATAGTGATTAACAATGGACTTGGGCATGATTGTGCAGGAAATCCGTTCATTGGTACTTTAGCAACATGTGAGAATTCTTGTTTGAAAGATACAACTTGCGTTGGGTTTTCAAGGGCCAAAAACGCATCAGATACTAATTCAAGCGCCCAATGCTTTTTGAAAAATAATATTACGTTGGATCAAACAATCAACGACAGCCAGTGGCAAACTGTGGTTTTCAATTTGGCACCTTATCAAGTATAAGAGAATCGAAAAAAATTTGAATAAACAAGACTTTCTTTTTTCTTTAATTTTTCTTCAATGTTTCTGGTGCATTTTTATAACTGACAATCGGATCATTGTCAGAAACCTCTACAACAAGAGACAATAAAAAGACATTCAATCAGTTCTTACTTTTTTTCTCTTTATATTGAAACATAATTAACTGTAACATAGAGGGCCTAACCATATGTGAAACTGCAAGATCTACCTGCAAAACATTGGAAACACGTCGGCTATTATTACTGTGATGCATAGCACCAGAAAATTGCAAAAATAGCTGAAAGCGAGAAGGATAGTACTGGTGGGTGTGTTACAGTATCAAAGTCATTTTGTTTAGGAGTAGGATTACAAGGCCAAGAATATCCATGTCTGGACATGGCTCGATACTCGCTTCAATTTTGTTGATTTGTTCTGAGTGCCTACAGGGCTCACATTGGTGTTTGCATCCACCCTTTTATCGGCTTCAAGTCCATGTACATATATAAATAGGCTAGTCATTCAGAATGACTCTGACTTTCACTTAGTTCACCAACAGGGTATTGTCGTATGGAAATGTACCGATGAAAACTATCGTAGACGTATTTTCGGGAAACAAGGAGATTTTTCTCAAAATATACACATTTTTTCTGATGTACGCACCTTTGGAACAAAATAAAATCTGAAACTTATTATCGATTGCCCTTGTATATACTACGTAGCTCATAATCGAATCAGTCGTTTAGTATTAGAATTCTTATTGGCATTGTGCTATAATCTACTAGGCTTCACCATACAAAAAATAATTAAGATTCATTTATTGTCACCTTTAGTAAAAGAACAGAGAAAAGAACTGATCGTAGCTGACATTTATGGCTGAAACATTCAGAGTACACTGACGAGGGAAGGTCCCCAAATGTGAGTCTCCGTTTCGAATCGGGTATTTGTTATTTTGTAGAGCTCAATGAGTACAGTACCCGCGTATAAAGGATTTCTCCCCATGATGAACTTTTCAGGAACAACGAGGTTCCATACCTTCTGAAAAATCAGCATAAGACTCTTAACTGAAGGCTTGAATGTTAATATTGTAAGGACAAAACATAGTGTTGTTCAGGCCAATCNACTGAAAACAAAGACGTGCAAGATATTACATTTTTCACTCTTCTACATTAAATTTCCTCTAGTATTTAAACGAGTAATTGTCTGACTATTCACTTTTAAGTCTTTAAGGCGATCTTCAAACACGAAACGTATCATTCTGATATTACCATTGCATTTAGTAGTGTTTTAATACATTAACCTTGGTTTTGATAAAAATTCGACCTTTTTAGTAGTATTCAGTTTACTGTTATCATGAAAAATTAGAATGTGTCATATAGTTTTTCTTTTTCCCTTCTCCAAATTTATTATCATCAAGCATGAAAACCTTTTTCTATGAATATTAAGAAGAGTTTAATCACATATCTATATAAGAAATCCATATTTTTATCATTTTTTTGAAGAAAACAATTGCAAAAAAAAACAGATATTATTTCATACATTAAGCTAACGAGACTTTTTAATAGTTATTTTAGACACTGTCAACAAAGTATCCTTTGAAAAAAGTCAAGATTCTAGCATTTATTCATGCGAAGATACATGCAATATAAGCTATGTTGGTAACATTTTGTGAAATTCACCCTCAAATTCGGAATGACGTTCCTAAAGTTTTCTTAAATATCGAGTGTCTCTCAGATGTCCTTCTTAGTTTTTCACTAAGACTTGAGCTTTCTTAAACGCACTTGGTGTGCCGCTTATCGTTCTATCTTATATGAGGTTGAACATACTATTGTTCAAAGAATTTTCGCATACTAAATATAAATCCATGCTAAGATCTGTGATTTTTTTCAAAATATGAGCCTTCCCAAGCCTAATGCTCCGCCGCCACTGATCTTAATATAGTGATTTCTTGATACTTTGAATACAGAATATATTTTTGAAAATGAAACGTACAATCAATATGATGAGAGTAAGTGACGATCCATAAAATCAAATGAATGAATTTTAGATTAAAATTCATTCATTTGATTTTTTCCGAAATGTCGTGTCTTTAACCGAACATTCATCCAGTGAAATAGCCATATCTCGGAAACAAAGATACGAGGGAATGAATCTTCTTCAGATTTTTCCTACATCACTGAGGTCTACTTATTGTTGAAAGATTGACTGGAGATGAGCTCATCATTTGCAATTATCTCAGGTAAACGATAGAGACCGAATGTATATGTGACCAACTACATAAATGATGTGCTTCACACTGCATTAAATATCACCATTTGACGCAGCATATTCAATAACTGCTGCCTAGCTAGCTGCTTTTGCGAATCTTCACCAAGAACATACCTGATTGATCCATTGCTGACTAATAAAACCTCGATATTCTTCGATGACCCGAGATTGTCTCTCTCGAAAGGTGAAAACCGCAGATCACTACGATATTCCTATCAAAAGTTATCCAGAAACCAGTAAAATGCACTGTATTTCGAAATGGACAGTAATTAATGTGATAAAATCTGATTAATGGTGACATCTAGGAATAAATGTATATATATATCATCATCAATCGAGAACAAAAGACAATATACTAATCAATAAAACTGATAAGAAAATAGATAACCAATACGTCATCTTTATTTACTTAATTCAAATCATCTTTTGTTTCACATTTTAAAGAAAATCAAATTTTCAACAATATTCATGAATATATTAATCTTTTAGTGAATTTTAAAAAAATAGATATAAAATTTTGTATTTTTTTAGATATATTCAAAATAAAATAAAGAACTTATCGTAATCTTTTCTTTTTCTTTCTCTCGTTTACTTCTATTTACATACGTATTTGTATGAAATATAAACATGTCTTGGGAGAGATCATGTTGTATGTCAACACCAGCATCGTCAACTAGTAGTGGCTCGTCGACAACATTTTCATTGTCGTCCTTACCACGTGACTATGACATGCCACCTCCACAACCACCACCACCATCATCATCATCGTCTTCTTTTTTCTTTTTTCCTTCATCTGAATACATTGACGAACAATCTACAAGAGAACGAGAAGAAAACAATTCATTACCGCCACCACCACCACCACTACCGCCACCACTTTACAACTACCATCATCATCATTCTTATCCTCACCTTTATTCTCCTATATTTCCCTCACGTGTCAATGTATCCGACACATGTTCATGTAATACCAACAATAATTATTCATCTCAAATACCATCATATGATGTATCTTCATCATTTCAATCTCCATTTTTATATGAACAATATTTGACATCATTAAAAAGTGAACAATCAGAACATTTACCATATTTATTTGATAATATTATATATCCACAACCATGTTCACCACCATCACCAACAAATGATTCTATAACATATTATCAACTTGATCATGCTAATACAACAACAATAATAAATAAATTTCCACAACATTCACATATACCAACAATTCAACCAATTATTTATCAACAATTATCACTTGTTGAACCACCATCATCAAATATTCAACAAAAATTACCTATTGTTAAACGTTATTATTATGATTCAAATATGTCAAATACAACAACAACAACTATTATGACGACAACACCTATAATAACAAATACTAATGAAAATGATCATTTAAATTTACCTTATGCTCGTCTTGATTCAACTTATTTTGGTACATATGATATTTGGCAAGAAAGAACAGTTATCGGAAGAAAAAGTAATCGACGCAAAGTCGACGTTAATATGGGTATGTAATAATATACAATTATAAAAAAAAAAAAAAACAATAAAAATTTGAGATCATCTATAAAGGATGTTGAGAAGTGATGTAGTAGTCGCTAAAAATACTTAAATTTGAATCTTTTTTACTGCATATAGAATTTCAAACTTTATTCAAGATGTTATGACTAATATATTGTACCATAGTCTAAATTACAGTTTTAGTAGAAAAAGAATATAATAGGATGAATGATTAGCATTTTTTAAGTAATAAAATTTCACCTTAAAGGTTAATCGATTATCTTTTTGTTGATTTTTATAAAAGAAATTGTAAAAAATAACGTTTTACTACTTTAGTATCTTCATGTTCGAAGACAGACTTCAAGTACGAAATTTTTCTCATTGCATCACAATCGATTTAGACTTTATGATGATTAAAATATTCAGGTTTCAGAAGGACTGCAGGAAGAATAACGTTAAAGCTAGCAAATATCTTTTATAAATAAATAGATAATCAATGATTACATATATATTTTAATTAGTAATTTATTTTCTAGGTTCAACTTCAGTTGTTTCTCGTATTCATTTTGAATTATTACTTGTTAATGGTATTGAATTTCATTTGAAATGTCTGAGTAAAAATGGAATCTTTATTAATAATAACTATGAAAAAATGTCTTCAACAACTATTTTACCTAAACAGTATAATTATAAATTTTTTGCTGTTCTTTTTTTTTTTTTAATAGTTTATATTTTAGATGTGCCATTCGTTTTCCAAGTACAGATTTATGTATCTCATTTTCATCATTACTTAATAATAATAATTCAATAAATCGAATATCAGGTGAAAATATTTCACGTCATATATCAAATGATACATCACAACATCAACGACGTTTATCATCATCATCATCATCAATGCCAATTGATATAACATCTTCAGTATCTCTTCAATCAGTTCCAAATATAACATCACAACAACAAATTATCTTTGCTGATGTTAATCAACAAACTCAACAAATATTTAATCATGAATCAAATAATAGTCTTCCACCATTAACTATTAATATACCAAATTCATCATCATCATCATCATCATCAACTGGTTCATCACTTTCAGCTGGTAGTAGTACTGGACAAATAAAATTTCAATATGAAAGTCCAACAGCAAATAATAATTCTTTTCTAGGGTAAATTCTTAGTTAAACATTACAGTTATTTTTTGTGTATTTTCATTCTATCTAATAAAAAAAGACGACAAAACAATGATTTCTATACTAGTTTTTGTTCATCTAGTTCATCTATTTCGTCTTGTTCGACAAGTCCAAAAAATGAACCAAATGAAAATCAACCGATAATTAGGTAAAAGAATTCAAAATTATATTCAAAAAAAGATAACATTAATATATTGTAATTGAAGTTCTCCAATAATTCAACGTATTTCATCAACTAGTATTGATAATATTCAACAAGAACATGATAATAATAATTCGAAGACGACTACTAAACCACCATTTTCATATGCTCAATTAATAGTTCAAGCTATTTTATCGGCATCTGATAAACAAATGACATTAAGTCAAATATATAATTTTATATCAGCGCAATATCCATATTATGCAGCAAATACTCGTGGTTGGCAAGTAAGTTTTTATTTAAAAATGAAAAAGTCTTCTTTCTTCTATTTTTTTGTTTTTTTTGTTTGAATTTCAGAATTCAATACGACATAATCTTAGTTTAAATCGTTATTTTATTCGTCTTGCACGTAAAGAAAATGATTCTGGTAAAGGAAGTTTTTGGCGTTTAGATCAAACATGTGAAGAAAAATTAATTGATCATGCATTTCGACATCGAAAACAACGTGGAAATTCAACGAATACTTCAATTAATTCAAATATTAAAAATGAGTAAATTTTCATTTTTGTTTTTTTTTTTCTTATTATTATTTAAAGTAATGATAAAAGAAACACTAAAATTTAGATCTGAAGAAATTCATTCTCCAAATACACAATATTGTAATGATCCAACAGATTTTTTATTAGCTGATATTCATACAAGTAATCCATCGACACCATTATCACCAATGACAAGTCCATTGACAGCAGTTATGTCACCTATTCAACAAGGTGAAGATTATAAACGAAAACGAAATAACAACGATGATGATGATGATTTAATTGATCATGAAATAGAAGAATTATTATATTCTCTTATGGAATCTATTGATAATAATATAACGTTATTATTCGATAAAACAATTAAACGTCAGAAAACATAAATCTTTCGTTTTATTATTATGTTGACATTATGTTCATTGTTTTGTTTTTTGAAACATGATTTATTATTGATTATTAACTATTCTTTTTTTCTTTCTTTCTTCATATATCCGAGTGATGTTATTGTAAATGAAAGCTTTTTTTTCTTTTGTTATTGTTGTTTTGTTATTTTATAAACATGAAAGTTATATAATTGATTTTCTAGAAAAAAGCGAAAAAAAAAAAAATTCGAAATACTTAACAAATTATTAAGTTTATAATTGAAATGAAAGAATATCTCACGAGAATACCTTCTCAGATGTTTTCTTATGATTTCAATAACTTCTTTTGTCTATAGATACTACATAGTACTCTAATACAAACCAGTGTTTTGCATGGGTACCCTCTTTTTCAGTTAATCGTCATGCGACAAAAACTTTTACTATAAAAAGTACATTATTTATGTGGCATCTTTCTGTTTCCAAAATCTGATTAATTTCGTTAAATTACCTTTTATAAAAAAAAATCAGAAGTTTTGAACAAAGTCTCTTTGATATATGAAGCTGACAAAAAATTCATATTGTATACACTATACATGGAGAAGTGTCTGTATCATGAAATTTTCATAACTCGAAACGATTTTGTTCAAAATATTTTTGGTAAATTATATTAAACATAATCTTGAACAACAAAATAGGTAATATTCAAAATTTTTAATATAAGACATAATTTCTTTAGTAGTACTAGTCAATATAATAGTAAATATTTCAGTTGTAAAACGAATTATTTTATTTATTATGATCAGTGGCGTAGCCAGGAATTTTTAAGTCATGGGCAATTCATCAGCCGAACTATTTTGAGTTACGGGCAGCTAAGGGCAACCGTTGTGATTTCAAAAATATCTATGGGCAATAACTGTTCAAGCACTGCATAGCTCAATAAATCCATGGGCAATAACTTTTGGAGCTAGGGGCAATTGCCCAATGGCCCTACCCCTGGCTACGCCACTGATTATGATAAAATTCGACTTGATTCTTTCAGCCGACCAATGATAACAGTTGTATTCATTATTGACATTAACTTCTAATAGCTATAGTTAAACACATGAAAACAGAATATATGAACGGAAATGTTCAGCTGAAGAGTATAATTATCCATATAATAATTAACATAACTATACGATAATAACGTTAAATTGGTATTACAGAAAGAAAATCTATATTACTGAAAATTTTTTCGTGCTTCAATTAATCGGTTTAATGCAAATGTTCCTATAATATTTTCTACTATTACTTCGTGCGTAACTCTATTTTTAAAATATAAGATAGAGAATCTGTTCATAATTTTTTTATTAGCCTCATTAGAAGAATTTCATTTCCTCTAAAGTGTGTTTCGATGCATTTTAAACAAATCTTATTACAATTAAAAAGTAATACTTCCAGAGAGAGAAAGAGTTCATCTTGATAGTTATTTGTAGGAAAAATAACATTTCTTCTACATAAAATTTCAGTGAGTATCAATTTATTTTTTTTTGTATGAGAAAAAACAAAATATTTAATTCTCGAAAACTAAACATTGAATTGTTTGTTTTTAATTTCACTTGTAAATTTCCTATTAAAAGTAAGTCCGAATGAATGTCAATAAGAATTGAATAGTCTCTCGTAAAATTAGCAGTCACTACCAATCTCGTCCTACCGTCGATATAACATACATAGAACCAAACAGCCTATTGACGGTTTTACTGACAGTTTTTCTTCAGTGTAAATCACATGGGTATTCTAAGGTGATGAAAAAATTTTTAACAAAAACATATTTTTCATTTTTGTTTTCTATAATGTTAAGCAATTAACTCAAATTGAGATAATGATTTTAATAGCCAACGAAGTTTTCTATCTAGTGTATTCTATGTTAAGATTTCATGGATGATTTTTAAACAATGACATTTTAATAAGTACAAAAAAATGCGACTACTATTCATTTTGTGATCTTTAAAATGACATCGTTAGAAAAAAAACTTCTAAGACTTGAAAACAATCGTGTTTAACTTTTCATTATAATTTAAGCTATGAAATCTTAATATAGAATTCATTAGATAGAAAAAACTTCGTTGATTATTAAAATTATTATCTCAATTTGAGCTAATTACTTGACATTATAGAAAAAAAAATGAAGAACATTTTGTTGTTAAACATTCTTTTACCTCCTTTTTTTCAGAATTTTTCTTTGTAGACTAACGAAAATTATATCATGAACTTTATCATCATATATATTAGTTGGATTGTCATCAGAGTACTTGTAAGATGCGCAAAATTTTGTTTTTGGTTTTTATACATAGTTAGACAGATCTCATTGTAAAACTGAGTGTGTGAGACAATGTTTAACGACTATTCAAGTATGTTATAATGATAAAATCATACTACTTTGTTCGAAAGAAAAATCCTTCAACTTTGGTTCAAGATCTCTCAAACATGAAATTCTGTCTGTAATATGAGGTTTTCTTTACTGAAACTCAATAGTTTTTCGATAAAAATGGTAGAATCAGAATCAGCACGAAAAACTGAGTTGATTAGAATGACTTCCTATTATTTTCGAAGAATTTGAATTTTTGATGATTTCTGGTCCCCAGACAAAGATCATAGATTTTCATGAAAAACTTAAAGTCAAATGAACACTTTAGCATGTACCATAATCGAATTAGTTATTTGTACTGATTCCGAATCTATCATTTTTATTGGAAGACTGTCGAATTTCGGTGAATAAAACCTTGTATTACAGCTAGAATTTCATATTTTCGGAGTTTTGAACCAGATTTGAAAGATATTTTTTAAGTAGAATGCCTGATAGTTTTGATGGTATATGAAAGTCAGATATACTATAGTATAAAAAAAATTAAATAGCTTTACAATAAATTTGATAGCTTACTTAGTTTCAAAATGTCATTTGATGCTCACTTTCTGATGAGAACAAACTTGAAAAGTACCAAAAATTGTTGTCACATGCTCAGTTTTACAATACTGTATGAAATGAAAATTTTTGTTGATGATAATAAAACAAAAATTTTACGAGATGTTGAATGGATTTTATTGTGATCGATGATGACAACATTCTTCAAGATGGCAAATCGCATGATTCGAAAGCCTTTTTTTCTCTAATTCATTTGACATTATTATCTCCTTTTTTTTTCTAATTCTTTTCTGAGACGTCATGTATTAGATTAAATTCTTAATTTTCAAGGAAAATTTCATTATAACTTAGGTTCTTATGATTATTTACATTCATCGGTAACGTTTGACAGTTATTCAGACTATTATTGTCGGTTCGATATGTAGACAGATTAGTTATAAAAATTTCATTTAAATTATTAGTCGTTTGCTGTGTCGGTTTTTATCGGATATTAGAGAACGAGAGAGAAAAAGAAAATCTATGAATACATGAGAAAATTTACATTATTTTATGCTTAGGAGTCGTTTATGAATCTAACGTAGTTTGATGAAGAGAAGTCACAGAATTCTCGAGAAACATTATTTTATTCAAAATTATTTCTATTATTAGATAAGATGATTAAAAAAAGAATCACTAATCAAACTCAGAAAACTATTTTCTAGAGATTCTATCGCCGAAAAATATATTTCTCGTCATAGAAAATTCTTTTAGCTTATTTCATTTTGTTTTTACAAATTTATCTTAGTTATCATTGTTAAGAACATATCTCAAATGTACAAATGTGCTAAAATCTTTTGCCTCTATTTAGCATCTATTCGAGATTTATTGTTGTATTTTGATAGTTGCAATCAGCAAAACAATCAGGTTTGTATTTTTAAGATTTCTTCGATATTTTTTTCTTAAAGTTAAAGTATACAAAAAAAAGACAAATGAGAAATTGCTCACAAAAATTTCATGTGTTCTACATTTTATGTTGTAAAATTAACACGTCACGTTAGAACAATTACCTAAACTTCAATGAACTTTTTCTAGAAAACTCATTATTAAATCTAATAAGTGACGTTTAAATAAGGTATTAGACAAGAAAAGGCGTCAAAATGATTGTTAGAAAGCTTTTAAATCATGCACTTTGTCATTCTGAAGATTTTTGTCCTTGTCGAGCATAATAAAATTCACTCAACATCTTGTAGAACTTTTTGTTTTGTTCTATTCAATAAAATAAAATTCTATATTCACTCTACAAGCCTTATGGTGATTGTTTAATTATTTAAAATAAGGTAAATGTATAGAGAAATTCTTTTACAGTTCATTCTACAATTTTAATTAATAAAAATAGAATAGAATATATTACCGTTAATTTTAGAGAGATTAATAGAATTTTTCTTTTAGATTGACTCGAGTTTCCTCTATATCTTGAACCGAGGGTGTAGTTCGTACAATATAATAGTCAATAATGCGTCATCATTTCCGAAGAAAGTCTGTGAAAATAAGACGGTATGAAAAACCAAGTAAAAACAACATAAAAAAAAAGGAAACGAATTAGACTGAGGAAATAGAATCACTGAATCGAAAGAGACGGATACTGTTGTTCCGCCAGTTATCACATAAAATTAATTTCCTATAGATAAAAATCTAAATATTAAGTTTAATATTCACAAGAATGATTTTAAATTATTACTGATCTATTTTAACCTCAATTACAGAAACTTGTTGTGGTGTCAAAAATGCGTACCCAAATGAAAAAAAAAGCAAAAGAATAAGTTTTTTTTTTTCTAGACGTTGATGTTTTCATCAATATATGACTTTGCTTTTTCTTTTCTTCTTTCTGGTAATTAAAGTTATTATTGTTTACAGATACATACCGGAGATTTTTTTTGTCCTTGAATGAAGCATATATCACGCCATACATCCGCTTACACTCCGTTAAAGTAAATCATGATTCTATGATTATAGGTAAGTTTTTGTATATAAATTTGAACTTTTTATTTTCTATGAATTTTATTGTACTTTGTTTTTAGCCAAGAGGTAAATTAATACGTAAGAGATAATTTAAATGTATACCGTTTTTTTTTTTGTCTCT